CCCCGCGACCCGACCCCGGATAGGCGGAAGAAAATGGATGGATGGATGGATGGATGGATGGATGGATGGATGGATGGACAGTCCATAGTATCAAAAGATTCAGAGAATCTGGACAAATATCTGCAGGTAAGTGGCAAGGCCAAAAACCAAGATTGCTTGTGTGACTTCAACTGCTCAGGTGGCACTGCATTATAAAAAACATCATTCTTCTGTAACAGATATTACCGCGTGGACTCAGGAACACTTCAGAACACCACTGTCAGTGAACACAGTTGGTCTCTACAACTACAAGTTCAAGTTATAACTCTACCATGTAAAGCCAAACCCAGATATCAACAACACCCAGAAACACAGCCGGCTTCTCTGGGCCTGAGCTCATCTGAGATGGACTGAAACACAGTGCAAAAGTGTCCTGTGGTCTGACGAGTCCACGTTTCAAATTCTTTTTGGAAATTATGGACGTCAGGGCCAAAGAAGMAAAGGACTGTCTGGATTGTTATCAGTGCAAAGTTCAAAAGCCAGCACCTCCTATGGTATGGGGGTGTATTAGTGCCCATGGCATGGGTAACTGTCACATGTATGAAGACGCCATTAATGCTGAAAGCTACATACAGGTTTTTGAGCAACATATGCTGCCATCCAAGCCACGTCTTTTTCAGGGAAACTCTACTTATTTCAGCAAGACAATGCCACATTCTGCACTTGTTACAAYAGCGTGGCTTTGTAGTAAGTGTGGGTACTAGAGTGGCCTGGCTGCAGTTCAGACCTGTCTCCCACTGAAAATGTGTCGAGCATTATGAAGCGCAAAATATGACAACAGAGACCCCAGACTGTTGAGCAACAGAAGTTATTCATCAAGCAAGAATGGGAAAGAATTCCACATAGGTAGTGTCCTCAGTTCTCAAACACTTATTGAATATTGGTAAAAGGAAAGGTGACGGACCACAGAGGTAAACATGCAACAGTGTTTATTCTGTTTCTATTTATGTTTTACACAATGGCCCAAATTCATTGGAACTGGGAATCCCTGGCAAGACTTGAAAATTGTTATTCACAGATGATCTCTGTCCAATCCGACTGAGCTTGAGCTGCTTCACCAAGAAGAATGGTCAAAACTAAAATTCTCTAGACACGCAAAGTTGGTAGAAACATACCCCTAAAAGATTTAGAGCTGACATTGCAAGAAAAAGTGGTTCTGCAATGTTTTAACTCAGGACGGCTGAATACAACTGCATGCCACACTTTCAGGGTTTTATTTGTAAAAAAAAAAAGATCAAAAACCATATATTTTTTCCTTTGCCCATACAATATCTATCAGAAAACACCAGGAGTTAGATTGCATGTGGAAAAGATCAAGTACTATGAAAACCTTTTCTAGTCACCATATCCATTTTTTTCTATGCCATAGCTTCACATCAGTCAGGAGGAATGAACTTGTGTAAACTGAGCGAGTGCATTTTTACCTTCTTATAGTCTTTGGCGGTGGACTCCTGCTCCTGTCTGTTCAGAGCCGCCAGCCTCGTCTCTCTCCGTGTGTAGGAGCTGGTGCGGCCCAGAGCCTTCTCTGCAGCACTTTCTCCAGTGGAGTCATATCTGAAGGCAACACARCTCACACTCAGTGCAGTGTTCTGTTCTTCCTTTCTAAAGTTCTGTAATCTAGGAAGAAAAAAATCCAGTCTGATCTTACCTCGACAATCTTTCGTGCTGGAAAAAGAAAAGAAAAAAGGGAGCCACGTTAGTTTGATCATTCAGCATCACAGCATGAGAGCAAYACAGCGTAAACACTATGGAGGTGATTGCATCCAGATTTGTTTGTTTGATAAGAAGCAAACAAAGGCTTGGCAGAGAGACTGCTTTTATTCAAAGACAAAAAAGAGAATAACAAAGTTTCTAACTGAATTATTACAACATGTTCAGGGATCTATGGTAGCAGAAGACAGAAAGGAGRTTTAATCAGAGTTCATGCAGGTCAACCACAGGCCAAGCGTTTAGTATGAAGCTAAATTGGGGTCATTAAATATG